TCTATAAACAAAGGTGTTGATGGCAGAAGCACAGCTGATATTTTATTCCAGGATGGAGTCACAGCCAAACAGGAACAGACCAGATGAAGCTACTATGAGAAAAAGCAGAACGTTAGAAACTGAACTAACAAGACCTGCATAGTGGAGGAATAGAGATTGAATGAAACAGAATAATGAAAACAGGTCCCTATGTCCTCCAGCAGTCTAAGCCTATAGCAGCATAGCTATACAGATGTGCTGCTATATATGGTGTCAAATTTGCTCCATTATTATTGAAAGCAAAGAACATATATTTTACATGGAAATAAAACAATGAATTTCAGAAACGAACCTTTGAAAAAGTTTTTAAACTTTTTTTTTTTTTTTACAGATTTTACATTCTTTTTATTGCATTTATTCAAATCTCTATTTTCCAGATTGAGTTTTATTTATTGCATTCTTTTTATTTGTGTTCTTAGATCACATTCTCTTTGTTACCAACCCAATAAAAACACTCAATGTGATCAATAAATATGTGGTTGCTAACTTCCAGCAGACCGATCCTCACTCTTGAGAAAAGCCTAATTCCAAAAGTGAAGAGTGTACATTTTATAAAAAATCCATCAAATAAAAAAAGAATAAATGGGAGAGTTATCTTTTAACAATACAACATGAAAGTAAAACAAAATGTAAACAAATTAGAAAAATCAGATTAAACAGCAAAGTTACTCTCAAAATCCTTTTTTAATGTAATATCTAAATATTTTACATTTTATTTCTGGATTATATTTTTTTATTTCCACTAACAAAATGTGTTCTTTGTTTGCAACAATAATGGAACAAAATTCCCTACATAAGCTCTATAGAGAGACAAATTGTACTGGTTGTCTTCCTATGGGGGGACCAGTGTAACCCTGCTGTATAGATATGAAAAGATGAGAAAAAGCAAAACCACAAGGAAGAAAAGCAACGATATGAGCGGGACACTGAGGGGGAGCAGAAATGGGAAGGTTGGGAGACGAAAGCAGGCAAAACACAGGGAAGGGGAGTAATCACGTGTGTCCGGCGGAGGTCACCACTGGTCTGCAGGTTCTAATTATGTGCTAATAGTCACAGAGGAGGTCATTTGGAGCCATTAGCCGGGGCCTGTAGATAGTTAACGGCTCAGTGCATAACCCAACCTCCTTAATGTTCCCTACGAGGCCGTTAGCGCTCTGTCACCAGCCAGCTAGCTGCCTCGTTACTGTGATTAGAAACCAATTGATAGGTAATACTAAAATATGATAGCACTCTATCCAAGAAATATGGACTTTAGAGGAAAGGTAGGATGGCAGGAGCTGCAGTCTCTGAGTATCTCTGCACTGAGGTGGCGGAGAAGAGAATTTCCTTAAAAGCTTTAATGTTTTTACTGGATTAGTTGGGTCAAATAATCAATTGGATTTAGTTCTAAATCAAATCTCTAATGCTGCTAAATATAAAACAAACTTTTTACAATGTTGTCAGCAGTTGCTTATCAGCTTTGAATGATAGCAAAGCTTTGGATGTTCAGGTAACGAAGCAGGAGCAGTTCTGATCTGTGGGTCAGCGCAGCTTCTCTGGTAATCAGGATCTGTCCAGAGGGACACACTCTGCTCACATCCTGCTGCTGTTGCTTTAACTTCCCCATCCACTCTATGGGAAAATAACTCAGCTTCATTTACATCCTGATAACCAAACACAGAAACCTCTCTTTACTCACCGCTCACTTCATTAGCACAACAGGTTCACAACTGCAGAATACTGCTAGTACTTTGCTACTACAACTACTACCACTATTACCACTAAAGCTACTACTGCTACCGCTATTACCACTACTCCCACTAGTACTACTACTAATACCACTATTACCACTAAAACTACTACTGCTACCACTATTACCACCACAACCACTAGTACTACTACTAATACCACTATTACCACTAAAACTACTACTGCTACCGCTATTACCACTAAAACTACTACTGCTACCGCTATTACCACTACTACCACTAGTACTACTACTAATACCACTATTACCACTAAAACTACTACTGCTACCGCTATTACCACTACTACCACTAGTACTACTACTAATACCACTATTACCACTAAAACTACTACTGCTACCGCTATTACCACTACTACCACTAGTACTACTACTAATACCACTATTACCACTTAAACTACAAATGCTACCACTATTACCACTAAAACTACTACTGCTACCGCTATTACCACTACTACCACTAGTACTACTACTAATACCACTATTACCACTAAAACTACTACTGCTACTGCTATTACCACTACTACCACTAGTACTACTACTAATACCACTATTACCACTAAAACTACTACTGCTACCGCTATTAACACTACTACCACTAGTACTACTACTAATACCACAATTACCACCACTAACACTAGTACTACTACTACCACTATTAACATTTAACTTCCTACTACTACAACTATTACAACTAGTACTACTACTACCACTAATACCACTAAAACTACTACTGCTACCACTATTACCACTAAAACTACTACTGCTACCGCTATTAACACTACTACCACTAGTACTACTACTAATACCACTATTACCACCACTAACACTAGTACTACTACTACCACTATTAACATTTAACTTCCTACTACTACAACTATTACAACTAGTACTACTACTACCACTAATACCACTAAAACTACTACTGCTACCACTATTACCACCACTACCACTAGTACTACTAATAATACCACTATTACCACTAATCCTACTAGTACTATTACTACTACTACCACTATTACCACTACTACCACTAGTACTACTACTACTACCACTATTACCACTACTACTACTACTACTACCACTATTACCACTACTCCCACTCCATCTACTGCTAATACTACAACTATGAATAAAACTACTACTGCTACTACCATTACTACCACTCCTCCTACCCCATCTACTGCTCCTACTAATAGTACTACCACTACAACAACAACTACTACTACCACTACAACTACTACCACTACAACTATTACTACTACTACCACTACAACTACTACTACTAATAAAACTACTACTGCTACTACCATTTCTACCACTCCTCCTACCCCATCTACTGCTCCTACTAATAGTACTACCACTACAACAACAACTACTACTACCACTACAACTACTACCACTACAACTATTACTACTACTACCACTACAACTACCCTACTACTAATAAAACTACTACTGCTACTACCATTTCTACTACTCCTCCTTCTCCTACTACTGCTACTACTAGTACTACTAATATTAATACCAACACTACAACAACTACTACTAATAAAACTACTACTGCTGCTACCATTACTACCACTCCTCCTACTCCTACTACTACTACTACTACTAATACTACCAATACAACTACTACTACTAATAAAACTACTACTGCTACTATCATTACTACCACTCATCATAATCCATCTACTGTTACTACTAATACTACTATCACTAAAACTTCTACTAATAACAAAACTACTACTGCTACTACCATTACTACCACTCCTCCTACTCCTACTACTACTACTACTAATACTACCAATACAACTACTACTACTAATAAAACTACTACTGCTACTATCATTACTACCACTCATCATAATCCATCTACTGTTACTACTAATACTACTATCACTAAAACTTCTACTAATAATAACAAAACTACTACTGCTACTACCATTACTACCACTCCTCCTACTCCATCTACTGCTACTACTAATACTACTACAACTACTACTAATAAAACTACTACTGCTACTATCATTACTCCCACTCCTCCTACTCCTACTACTGCTACTACTATTACTAGTACTACTACAACTACTGTAATACTAATACTACCACTACAACTACTAATAATAAAAATAAAACTACTCCTGCTACTACCATTACTCCCACTCCTCCTACTCCATTGACTGCTACTATCACTACTACTACTACTACTAATACAACTACTACTCCTACTACCATTACTTCCACTGGGGGGGCCCTGAGGTGACAGCAGGCCAGTATAGAGACATAGTCCCATCAGTGTGCCCTTGGTCTTCCACCAGGCCTCCTCCCAATAGGAACAGATGCTCGAGCCTCCTCAGTTGGCTTCTTTCAACGTGGAGGAGCAACGACTCTGCTCCCTGCTCCTCACAGGTAACTGGGCTCCTCACCCGATCTGGAAGGGACGCCCAGCCACCATGAATTCGTGAAGGTTTTCATGATCTTGTCCTTTCGGTCATTACCCAGAAAATCTGAGCTTTACATTTTAAAAACAGTCTCATTAGTTTTGTTTCATTTAAGCTTATTGTTGTTAGGACATTTTGGTATAAAAAAAATGTAGTTGGATTCGGTGCAGCCCCAACCTGTTGTTGTACCAAAATAAACAGTTATTAAAGATGATGCAAAGTTAAATTGGACACTTTTATTATCAGTTATAAACTGAAGACGCTTAAGTATTAGCAAGGTATCATCCTAAGTGAAAATGAGGAGGAGCACGTAGGGCAGCCTTACGTAAACATATCAGCAGAATGATTGACAGTTAGGAGGATCACTTATTTAGATGATCTACTGGGAAAAATAACATCCTCCACTATACCTTTAATCAATTTGATACATTAAGTTCTACAAAAGTGTTTTTTAAACAGGATGATTTGTACTTCTGCTTGAGCAATAAAGATAAATACTTTTGACACCTTTGGTCATTATTAGTTAGGTTTAAATATTCCAGTGTTTATAAAGGACACAGGTGGACTATCTGAATTTTTTTATACCTAGAAACAGCTGAAGCTCAACAGTCCAGAAATATTCAGGAAAAGCTAAATGATCAGGCTCTTCATCATTAATCTTCTAAACATGCAAATATGAGTTGATTGAATCAAATCGGGTTTTTTCCAGGAGATGTGATGCTTCTCATTACTATAAAAGTTGCATGAAGTTTAATGAAACTAGACATCTTTTCTTTATTTTCTTTTTTTTTAAGCAGAAGTAGCAGCAGTTTGTTTTCGGTCCTTTTACAGAATAACAGGATGCTGTAGATTTGCATTTATTAGAAAAGTACATTTACACCAAAATCACAGTGATGTTTGCATTCAAAGGCTTCATCCTCTTCCAATCAGCACCTGGCGGGCCTCTCTCCTGTCCAACAGTCTGACCTCCAGGGGCCTATTTAGGACATTTTTGGCCCTAGGCAAATACAACACATAAAACAGACCCATTATACAGTTACAGAAATTTTAATAGAATAGACATACATTATATGTTCTACATTTTGTCCCTCTCTTCTTGTTGTTTTCCTCTCTATGTTTTGTACTCAGCTGACTTTTCATGCTGTTTTAAAAGGAATTAAAAAAAATTTCCAAGCACTAAGCTCACTTACTGTAGCTGATTGCTCCTTCCTGTGTTTCCACACTGGAAAAAAAAAAAAAAAAATCTAGATAAGTCATTTTTTCTTAAATTAAGTGCATTTGCTCTTGAATTAAGCAGGTAAGTGAGACATTTTGCCGATGGAAGAAGTTAATTTTTTTTATTTCAAGTGCATATTATGAAGTAAAAATACTAATTCCATTGGCAGATCATCTTATCTACCTACTCAAATTAAGGATAAATACACTTTTGAAGACCTTTTTACTTATTTCTAGATCGTTTTTGCAGTGCAGTCCTTCTTTTGACTGTAGACAAGCCATGATCTGCTTATCTGTTCTCCATTTTTCATTTGGATGAAATCATAGCTGCATGAATCATGACAGCAGACAAGATAGAGGAGAGCAGGAGGCGGGGTTACCAATCTACTCGCTCTGGAGAGCAGAGTTCGCTGCTTTTAGATGTTGTCGCCAAAGTCTCCAGTAGCAGAAAAAAGTTGCTAGATTTGGCGCTAAGCGCTTTTATGAATAAAAGTACTAGAGGGGTCTGAAAAGTCACTAAATATAGAGACAAAAGCTCTAAGTTTGCAACACTCCACTTTGCACCTTTTGATTTTAAATGGTCTGCTGCTGTCTGTTTGGACCTTTCTGAACATGTGCAGCAAATGGACTGATCCAATATGGTGGACACTGGGGGTGGGGGGCTGAGATACACTAAATATTATCAGCGTTCTGATGGCATTTTAGTGAAAGGATTTTTATCAAAATAGGAATAATTGTATTAACCATACGTGTAAACAGAGTTTTATGGAGCCCCCAGGAACTTGGCAGGTAACTGCCTGATGGTAAACCCCCCGCCCCCCCCACACACTGACCTCACAAATGCTCTCCAGGAAGGATGGTCATAAGGTTTCCATAGGGGCTGTAGGAGGCCTGAGGAGAAACTGTCCTGGCTGCTAAGGGCAGAGCAGCATCATGTTTCCACAGACTGGGTCTGGGTAAACTTACACAAACACATAGAAATCAAATCAGTATCAAAACAAGGTTATTCTAGATCTACTATGCAGAACATTGTTCTTAAGCAATTAGAGTCAGATGTTTTCATTTAAAAATATTTTATTTCTGCTCCGGCCAGACATTGATTCATATGATTTAAATTAAAATCACACTGGTTATCGGTCAAAGGCAGGAGACTTTCTGCTCCTCCACATTCATCAAGGCACGGACAAGTTTGATCTTGAGTATATGCTTCTTTCCTGGGAAATAAAGTAATCCAGCGCTCCCCGAAGAATCACAGCTTCAGTCGTGATGAAATCTCCAGGCTGGCCTCTAAATATTTGCCCGTGCTGTATTTGTGTGAGCGTTTCATTAACGATCAGAGCTGACAAACATGCACACTCATTGACCCCAGTCATCGAGGGAGAGCCTGAGACAGCAGGGCACGTTTGGGGAAAACATCTAAATGCCTCACATGAAGAATTGATGTCACCAGCAACAGACGGTTGAGGTGGAAATGAAACTGATCTGGTAAACATTTTCTACGTCCAGCTCTGCTGGCTGTTATTTAAGGTCCTGTCAGGAGTTTTAAAGTGTAATTGATACAAATGCTAAAGTTTCATCTTAACAGTATACAGTCACAGAAGGTTCAGAGCTTCGGATTGTTTAAAATTGCACTCACTCCCTTTTCATTATAGCAGGCTAGTTTGAAAACATTAGTTCATCAAAGGGTTGCTCTAAATTAGAGTTTGAGGAACTCAATTTGAAGGAGAGAAAATGTGTTTCTTTTCCACTGAGGAAAAAGCCGGATTCTTGGTTATGTTTGCATTTAAATCGAAACAGGCCTGCTCTAAATTTAAAGACGCTTTTAGATTTGAGAAATTATGCAAGGACCACAATCAAACAAAGCAGCAGAATTAGTTTTTTCCCGGCGCTCTTGGATCAGAGCGTTCACCCCATTAGATGTTAGCAGGAAGGGCGGCCGAAAGGTTGAGCGACTTGTTGTGCATCTGGACAGAAACAGAGAGTCGGACAGAGATGGCAGGACGACCTTAATCTGCCCGGGGAGTTAACAGAGGCGAGCCTGTCTTTTTGGAGCGCTGGGTTGGATGACTTCCAAGCAAGGGGGGGGGGGGGGAGCGGAGACATCTTCAGCTGCTCGTCACTGGCAGGGCAGCAAGAAGGCTGCCATGACCCCCGAGGTCTGCTGGCCCGCGCCAAACTAAAGCTAAATCAAGCTACAGGAGGAACGGGAGAAAAAATCTGGAAGTTTAGAATAAAAAAGAATCTCCGGGGTTCAAACTGACACCACTGGGCCTTTAAAGAGAATCAGTCAATCAAATGTAATTTCTAAAAGGCTCCACAACAACCACAGATTGATGGCAGTGTTGTAAACATTTCAAAAAGACAAAAAAAGATACAATTATTATAAAGAGTGACTAGAAAGGAAGTAGGTGTCTCTGTTTAAAGGAAAAGAATAATCAATGGATCGTTATCTAGAACTGAAACTAATGTTTGCGGTGATTTAATGATAATTTAGTGGTAATCGGTAAAAAAAATAAAAATAACTATTTTTGTCGCGATCACTGAGTCTGGGAGCGGCCATTTTTCCCCAAATATAGTAACACCTCCCTCCTGACATCTTCCTGTGTTCTGCCAGATCATCATACCCATAGTTAATACGCATGCGCAAAACATCAAATCTGCGTTTATCCCTTTAGTTTTGTACGAAAAATAGACTTTAAACTACCTCAACAGGTGTGTATCCCTTTAGTCACGTAGAAAAAAAACTATTTAAGTTCAGATCGCCATACACTTAAAAAAAGACCAAAAAATAAGTAAATAAATTGTTTTTTTTTACATGACTAAAGGGATACACCCCCGTTGAGGTAATTTAAAGTCTATTTTTCGTACAAAACTAAATCGATAAACTAAAGCGATAAACTGGTATTGACTATGGGTATGCTGGTCTGACCGGCTATGCTCATCTGACAGAACTCCGGCAGTGATGTCACGGTGCGGTAAGCCTAGCGCCATTCTTCCTGCTTTACAAGCAGAATCAATAGGAACTACTAGACACATCTGCAATCAACAACAATTATTGAAGATTTCCAGAGGACTTCACCATTGAAATTCACCAGAGCTATAGTGAAACTGACAATGCCCACGTGCATGGCAGCTGGATGTTGGAATACATCGGGTAAAAGTGAAAAAAAAGGGTTATTTCCCCTTTCTGAGTCCTGATCCTCCACGGACGGGTTCGTCGTTGGATTACCAACTTGAAGAGGGAGGATTTGCCATCGAAGTTCTGGCTAGAGAAAAAACACGTAATATGTAGCCAACATTTGGAAGAAGAATGTTTTCAGGATGACTTGGATAATAGCGCGTTGTGACAAACACCAGATACAGCATTGGGACTTGATCAACAGCCAATAACGCACTGTGACGTCACAAACCAGTAGGTGGCAGTAGAGTTCTTTGACAAAGAGAAAAAAACAGTATGAAATAAAAGAAAAGAGGTCAAAGTTCTTTGTGGGATGATTTAAGTTTGATGAAGAACCAAAGAGTCGATTGTGACTCTGGAGACTCCAGATGCCCTAAAGATTAGGGTCCCACAGACCCATCAGCCCTGATTTGAAACATTCAATGTAGGAGCCATAATGATGGGTGTGCATGTGTATGTATCACGTGGGCATAGTTGCTGTGGTGACACATGCGGTGACAGCTGATTGCTTAAATGGGTGTGTTTACCTGCACTCCGGAGGAGAGAGGGGAGCGGGTGAGCCGTATTTCTTGTTGACCGTTTGCTTTATGATCTGAATCAGTATGTCACATCATGTACGTTCCAATCTGTTGTGAGTGACTACATGAGCCTCTGGACAGGATTAAAACACCAAACCTTATTCCTGGATTCCGTGTGCATTTTTGATCAAAGACGGCAGCGCGTCATACACATACAGGACTCTATCTCCACCTCTCAAGCGACAAGGATTGCTAAGGAGTCGCTACATTCAACATTTGTTTTAATTTAATATCCACTGCTGTGAAGAAAATATTATGTCAACCTTTTTACACATTGGTTATTTCCTAGAAAACTGCCACATGTGAACTCCTAAAACTGTGAGCCTGTCTCTATACGATTAAATGTAAAAGTGCAACAGCTTCATTATTTAATCATTGTTGGAATAAAACTTTGAAGGTAAAAGGTTTTAAGAAATGCATTTAATATTACAACTTTATTAGAGGGACCATTAGAAGGTTCTAGAACCTCCCATTTATTGGTTAGAAAGAAACCAAAATGCACCAAAATTTGGCATAATTTCCTTTCAACGTCTCTATTAGCCATTAAACTTTGTCGGCTAATTAAATCAAACCCCAGTTAAACAGACGATCTGTCAGATGATGAGGACTGTGTTTACTATCAGTGTTATATGTTTTTGCTCTGATAATGGTAAACTCTGTGACACTACAATATTGATGCAATACTTTCTTTGAAAAAGCCCACATGGTCAAGCGTCGGAGAACGGTTGGTGTCCACAGGTGTCAGCTCATTGATGCTGTTTCAAGAAATTTTATGTACAGGTTTATTTTTCGATCAAATGCACCAGAATAGAGCGCCGTACGCTGGGTCTCTGTGCTTTGGGAACCTTGCTGTGTCTCCCTCCCCTTTCTGTTTCTTACTCTTTTTTTATTTTCTGGGTGTTCCTTTACTCTTAAGGACTACATGTGCATAATAAAAAAATCTGAATCAAATAGAGGTTTGGGGTTCGAAATATATCTAAATAAGGGAATGGATGCTTCACTTAGTTCTAGAATCACTTATAGGATTTATAATCTGGAATTTACTTATATAATCTTTACGAAATCATTCAAGTTTAATCATTTTAAGAGCAAAAAACAAATGGAGCTAATTTGGAACTAATTTTATTTCTCTTTTTTTTGTTATACATGAGAATTTAACTGGTATTACTTGTACTGGATCTGTACTCCATTTGCTAATGTTGATGTAGCATTAGCAACTTAGCAGTCAGTCATGGTCGGTTTACTATCATTTCCAGCTATCTGCAAAATAGGTAAAAAAATTGAAAACCAGCAACCCTTTGTAGCTGCCTTACAGGCCTGATTGGTGGAAAATAGGTGGAGTGTAAATAGTAAGGTAGGCTAATATTAGCATGCTAATAGCAAGGCAGGCTAATGTTAGCATGGTGATAGCAAAGCAGGCTAATGTTAGCATGCTGATAACCAGGTAGCCTAATGTTAGCGTGCTGATAGCAAGGTAGGCTAATGTTAGCATGCTGATAGCCAGGTAGGCTAATATTAGCGTGCTGATAGCAAGGTAAGCTAATGTTAGCGTGCTGATAGCAAGGTAGGCTAATGTTAGCATGGTGTTAGCAAGGCAGGCTAATGTTAGCATGGTGACAGCCAGGTAGGCTAATGTTAGCATGGTGATAGCAAGGCAGGCTAATGTTACAATGGTGATAGCAAGGTAGGCTAATGTTAGCATAGTAATAGCCAGGTAGGCTAATGTTAGAATGCTGATAGCCAGGTAGGTTAATATTAGCATGGTGATAGCCAGCTAGGCTAATGTTAGCTTGCTGATAACAATTCAGTAATCCTTATTTCACAAAATCCAAGGATTCTGCAATTTATGAAGAACAAACAAGTTAAAATACATTTAAGAAATATTTATAAAGCCCGAATATCAAACTTAAACAAATATAGTTTCTAACATCTATTTTACTTTTCTAGTTACATTTACTACAGTAACGTTTTGACATACTTTATAGTTTTACTTAAGTAATACTTTCATTTAGGTATCGGTGCTCTAACCTAAGTAAAATCTGTGGTTATTTTGCCCAGTTTGAATAACTTTATTGAATAAAGAAAAATCATGCTTGAAATAGTTAAAGTTTCACTAATATTAGCAACATATTTTATACAATCTTTGTGCTTTCTTTTTTAGTGATCTTTATGACACGGAGCTCAAGGAAATATACAAATATTCTTAATATTTATCATTGTTGATTAGGTTTTTTGAATAGTGACTTTTTTCTTCTTCTTTTACTTTTACTTGAGTAATTTCATGGACGGCTACTTATTATTTTTAACTGAAGTAGTAGTACGGTGAAGTGGGGCTGCTCCACCCACCTCTGCACATTACCAACTATAAAAATACTTTGCAACTGTACCAATTCAGCTATTTTTAGAATCTGTACTTTTTATAAATCTACTCCCTATATTTGAACATAAATATTTCTTGTCATTACTTCCTGTCTGGTTACGTCTAAACAAATAGCGATATAAAGAACCAGCATTACTGCTGTTTGGTGAAAAAAAACACCAGTTATGCATGAAAGTACTGCTGTTTCTGTTTAGGTTATTAAAGTAGTCACGTATAAACTTTGTCCAACTGCTCGACAAAGGAAAACATTAAAGGTTCAAAGGTAAACATTAGGCGTATCGGCCATACTTGCCCTGTATTTACTATCTGATCTATACCATAATTAGCAGAGTCACACGCTCTACCGTATATAAGATTCTCTAAAATTTGATTTCAGGCAAACTAGAACCAGTCAGTTATTTGTGTTTTTTCCACCAACAAAGTGAATAAAAGAGGAAAATTAACTAATTTTCTCTGCATAGAAGTTTCTTTTAAGTATATAGTATAGTAGTATATAAATGTTATCTATAGTGTCAGTGGGACGTTTGTAGAGCCTTTAAATTTGCAGCCTCATGCAGCACCAGTAAGGTTACTGACGTCCATTACCCTGCTTTAATATGGATAAATAACTGATTATTTTGCATCTTTTACAGCAAAAAAAAAAAAAAAACTGTACAAAGTAGAACATGTACTTTTGTTTGAATTCTACTTAAGTAAAGGAGTTCAGTTTTTAATCTTGAGTTAAGAAACTAAAGTGATTTTAGCTCAACTGTATCAAAAAATAAATAAATAAACAAAAGAAAACTTTCCTGGATGCTTTAAACAAAGCTAATCAACTTTGTGACTGCAGATATTCCTGGATTTGCAATAACAATGATGTCAAAGCAGAGTTACATTCTCATGCAGAAATGCTGATAAATATCCTTAAAACAAATGCTGGAAATATTTCTGTTCCTTCAGTGTAAACATCCCTCTGTCAGAACACAAATAACGACAGCACAATGCATGCTGGACCTTCAGCATTTAGAACATCTGCAGGATTTAAAAGAAAAACAGCACAAACTCGGTCCGCTCCGTTCCGGTTCCGGTCCGGTGTTGGGGTGCATACTGTAGGGATGTATGGCGGCTTCCCTGTGAGGGGACTCTGCTCTGCAGCGCCATGCATTGTTGGAAATTTGCATGCTCAAGTCCATATGGCAACTTCCTTTCTGACCTGCTTTCCCATCCCGGATGGATTGTCAGGCCTGTCAGACGAGAAAGAATCACTTGACTTGGTTTAACAAGTTCAAAAGGCTGCGATGAGGCGCTGTTGATCCATGGAGAATCGGTGGAGAAACACCCCGCCGGTCTGCGCCATCACCGCCTCAGAGATGGATGGATGGATGGAGGGGGGGTCTTATTTAGAGAAATTACAGAAGCTGTGATAGAATCTGATCATTTCATGAATTAAGACACAAACGCGCAACAAGTAGCTATTTAAAAGGAAAAAGAAAAAGTGAGTTTTAATAAACTGTTCGGGGGAAAAGAAATTCTCTCCTTTTTTCTTTTTGTTTTTGGATGAAAAAAATAGTTCCGAACAGGCAGCAGTTAATTCCTGAATGCAATTAAAGTAATAATGGTTTTAACACGCCGCGAGTTTGCGGATTATTCCCACGCACAGATGGAGAGCGCCGCGCGCGCGCGCGCTCCATCACAGCCAGCGACGCTTCGCCTCCTTTCGCGCGCGCGTGCATGTGACCCCGGCTAAACCCCCCCCTCCCCCGTGAGGTTCTGCCGTTCCTCCGGTCCGGTTCCTCTCAGCTCTCCTTCCACTCATATACTTTTATTATTATTACCAAACCATCCCATAATTACCCCATAATCATTATATAATCCCCCAACAAAGCCTCCATTGAAGCCCTGTCTTTTGTCAGCGCTGGGACACTGAATCTATAATTGCATTATTCACCCCCCCACCCCCCCATATGGAAGCATAATATATCAAAAACACGGAGCAGGAGCAGCTTTTAGTTTCAGGAAACACTCCGGCTCCTGCAGGACTTCTCTCTCTGCCTCCCTGTCATCCCACTTTTTTTTTTTTTTTTTTATTCAAAACCAAAAGAGAAAAAGGAAAAAAGTTGCTCCAACTTCCCAGTTTTCATCAGTGTTTTACAGAAAGGGGCAGTAAAAAAAAAAAAAAAAAAAAAAAAAGAAGCTTGGAGCACCTGCGACTTTGACAGTAAAAGCCGCGTCTTTTATTCCTCCAAATCATTTCAGTTTAGGGATAAAAATCCTTTAAATTGGGGAGAAAAAGAAAAGAAAAAGGGTTTAAAAAAGGAAAGGAGAGAGAGAAGAGGGCTCCCCCCTTGGGGGAAGAGGTGCTCCGTTTGTCTGCAGCCCCAATGAGGCTTATTTCCATTAAATCCGGCAGCAGGTTCCAGCGCAGATAGAAGAGCGTCATTTTTATCACTCATTACTTGTGTTTAGCGGAGACTGACGCTCCGGACGCAGCGGAGGAAACGCTCATTTATCCAGGAGTTTCTAAAAGGCCAGGAGGAGAGGAGCAGAGGGGGGATCAGGAGCAGCTGTCCTAGAAGGTAAGGAATGTCACTTTCTGCTTATTTTTGGTAGTTATTTGCTGTGTTTGCAGGGAGGGATGTTAGTGTGAGCCAGCCGATCATCGCCCCGAGCTGCGCGGCTGAGAGCAGAGGGCAGCCCGCTGAGCTCCGGAGAAACGGCTCAGATCCGACAACAGTTTGAAGCTTTTATTGCTATTTATTCAGTTTAAGGCTGGAGGAGCTGAAGGAGGGGGGGCTGTTTGGAAGGAGCTTTTATTTCCGTCTGATGTGAGGATCGCAGCCGGCAGTCTGGGGCTCCAGCCGCCGCTGAGATCCGGACAGAGACGCGGAGACCCGGAGGAGGACAGGTCCTCACAAACACCGCTTGGTTTTGGGGCTTTTTTGATCTCGGAGTACACCGCACCGCACCGCACCGGAACGCAACGCACCGCACCGGACCGCATCGGAGCGGAACGCGTCCGAGGCGCACTTTTCCAGCCGCGCCGCCGGTCCCTTCATGATCCCGTCCGAACCAGAGGAGCGGTTCGGTCCGCTGGTCTCTGTGGCTGGAAGTCTGCAAAATAAAAAATAGAAATACCGGGGGAAAAAATAAATAAATAATAAAGGTACGAAGTGGACTTGAAGCTGAACGGGTTTATTTCTTATTTGAGGGGGGGTGGGGGGTCTCCTGATGCACCCCCCCCCCCCGATTGATGATCAGAAAATAGGGGCGCAGTTATCCGGAGCGAGGAGGTCATGGAGATCCTCAGTCTGACAGGCAGAAACCCGCAAAAACATTAATTCATTAATTAATTAATAAAAATAAAGCTTAATGTCCACCACTCCCCCCCCCCCTCCTGCTGTGCCGCATTTAGGATCAGCGGCACAGTGTGGGACTTTTACACACAACTTATTCCCATCTAATCCCGCCATCTAATCTGGATTTCACAACGATCTAAATCAGTAAATATCAGATTTTTGTATAGATAATTTTTATTTATTTTTATTTTTCTGTTGTGGCAGCACGTGTCCAGAAAAAGAAAAAAAAAGTTGTGATTGGGGGGTGGGGGGCTGCCATTTTGTGCAAACTGATCGACCGCTGAAATGAATAATCCTCATGGATGCAAACTGGGCCGCTTTATTTCTGTCTGATCAACGGGGATGCAGAAAAGTTCCTGTTTGGGCAAATAGAGAAGCTAAGGTGTGCAGGCCTGATCAGTCTTGGGGGGTGGGGGGGTCAGATCAATGATCTATAAGCTTTAAAACATGATGCATCTAAAAAAAATTAAAAACTGACTTGTGGCATTTTTTATTTGCTGAACATAAGCAGGAGATTCTGCACAGCTCCGCTTCTGTAATCCCATTTAAAGCTGGGGGTCCCAGCTGAGCATCTTGGGTGGGAGGGGGGGGTTCCTCTGTGACCCCCCCCTGACTGATCTGACCCACTGCTTACCTTTACCAACCAGGAATTTGAGAATATAAATTGCATAGATTTGTGGGTAAAAAGCTTGGATGGTTAATTTATTCACGCTTTAATTCACAGTTTGCTGCTAAAAATTATTTATTTTACTGCTTTTATATTAAATATATATATGATTATACTTTTCTGCTTCTTTTGGGCCCCCCCCCCCCCTCAATCAGGGACCCCTTAGAATCTTCCTAACTTTCCCCCCTAACGCGGCATCCCTGTCACCAGCACCTTCAATCTCTCCACTGAGGCTGTCACATTGTTTCCCTAACCTTTCCCCAACTTACCCCCCACCCCACCCCAGAAAAGTTGCTTCCTCCTTGGATTCATTGTGCAGAGCAGAAGTGAATAAATGGATGGACTGTAGGGGCTGGATGCTGTCATTGTGTGATGGTATGCACAGGGCGGATATTGTGTCTGAAATAGTGTCTGGGCGTAAACCCCTTTTGTCAGTTCCTTTTTATGGCGGCAGAAATATGAAATGGATGACGGTGCAGAGCTGTTTGCCCTCTGCTCTGCTACCAGCTGACGTCTTTCTTTCTGGTTTTTTGGAGAAAACTATCTGGAAGAAAAGGCCTCACTTTGTTTTTTGATTTTCTAGATTTTCTGTCGTGTATTTAAAGTGTCCTCAGATGTTTATATTTCTCAGGCCTGCTTATAAATCTTTTCTTTCACATTAGCATAATTTGCCTCACTGCACCCTGATCAGGCGCTCGCACACAGTAGAAGCAAGTCCATTCTTCTAGAAATGATCCCCTGATTGGAGAACAATCTGCCATTGGAATCAGATGATTTACATTTAAAATAATAATAATAAAAAAACACCAATATTAGATTATTTTAATGGAATATGATCTAATTATTAAATCCTCACAGTGTTGGTAGATCATCTTATTTTCCTGCTCTTATTAAAGAAGAAATTGTTTTTTATTTTTAATGTCAGTAAAAAATAAATTGAGAACATTTCCTTAATCTGTTAATAATCAGAGATTTTGAAATGTGTGTTTTTGGGTTATTTGAAAACAGTGAAAATCTGTGAAACAGGGAGGCATGAGGGATCCGACATCTTCTCCTGCTGCAACTTTCTGACTGTGAAAGCTTGGAAATGGGCTCCTAGGCGTCGCTCTGTCGACCGATCCGGCGTGAGCCGCTCTCCCACCTGTGTGTGTGTGTGTGTGAGTGTGTGAGTGACTGCTGTGATCATCTTTGAGCAGTGAAGGAGGGCGGCAGACGGAGCGGAGCTGGCATGCACAGGATGGCATCAGATCCATCCTCTTCCAGCGCGCTGTCAGTCAATCAGGAGGCCCACTTCGTGTTGTCAGTCTGACACTGGCTCGTTTATCGCCATGCCGACGTTTTCAACAATCAAATTGCTGTTTAAAAACAAGGGGAAGGGGGGGATGCAAAGGAGAGTAAAAAAAAAAAGGGCCCAGATCCATAACCCTGTAGTGGGGATTCATGCATCTGCAAGTGTTCCCCGTCAGATCTGCAGCCTCACTGCCCCCCCCCCCCCCACCCCCCCATTCTCATGTAATTATGGGGAGTGAGCTCCAGCTGCACAGGCTGGAGGGCCAGCTTTCTCCGTCCGCTGGGATCAGGGCAGTGGTGGGCAGGCCGGATCAGGCCAGCTCTGCTCATCAGCCAGCCATTAATTGATATGTGCAGTCATTGTGAAAGCAGCCCCCCCCAACCCCCCACCCCCACCCCAGCATCCTCCAGTTTTATTTCATTTTTTGGTTACCTGCTGTTCCAGGCAGAGGACGGGTACCCGTCCATTTTCTGCTTTTATTCCACCGTCCGGTTTCTGATCAGCCGGTTGTTCCTCACTGCGCTGGCAGAGAGCAGCGGCTCTGTGTTTGGGGTGGGGGTAACTCCTTGACCTTGATCTCCAGAGTTGAAGCCAGGAAGGGAGCGCGTCGTCAGGTTCAACACGCAGCTGCCTTGTGACAATAATAAGGAGATTTCTCCGACTGATTTCTTCCTCCTGAAAAATCTCTAAAACTCAGATTAAAAACTAGAAAAGCACAGATCCACATTTATTCACTCAGTTTCCTGAGTTTGTTTTAATCTTTTCATTTTTCATAAACTCCTCAGGTATGTTGAATACTAACAGATTTATACCCAAAATCGCCCTTTAAATCACTAAATGAAGCTGCGGAACGGTCAGTCATTAAAAAGACAAAGTGGCTGCATTATTCAATCAAAGACAGATTTTTCTGTACAGGATATTTTTATACAAAATGTAATTTATGATAAACTGCATAGATCTCACCTTATGGATAATCCAATTTCCTTTGATACCAGATCCAGAATTTTCTCAATATCAGGACTGATTCAGTTATTTATATCGGATCCACAGATTCAGTTTTTTTTTTAAGGCCGATACCGATTATTTTACATCCATCCAACCGATCCTCGATATTTGCTACCGATATTTTTGGTACGATTTTTGAGCTGATGTAACATTTTCTTCCTTCGTTTACATGATAAAATTGGCATAGTTATAACAAACGCTACAAAGTATGAATTTTAATAAAAAGGGAACCTTTATTAACAAAATAAATATGAACAATTGACAGCGGTTAGGGGAGTGGCAATGCAGAAAAATTGAAAAAAACTGATTCTGTCTTATTGGTGCATGTTTCCCACATCTCAACCTGCAGATTACTGACTGCTGAGGCCGTCCAAGATAAGGTTGCCCTTTGACCTTTAGGATTTTGTCAGGTTGAGCAGATTGATGATGGATATTTCTGTTAGTTTATGTCTTCAAACCTGTGATTAAGAATCAACGTCAGGGCGAAGGTGTGAGATGGATAACAGACGAGGGGTCCGGTACCGGTGGGGTCGGTTGGTGGCGTCGGACGAGGCGCTGATGGATCAGTCCCCACATGGCAGGGTGGCTGTGAGGATGGGGCTGACGGTGCAGAAAGGAGCGTTCATGTCCTCCTTTATTCCTAAAGTTTGCTGTAGATTCATGGAGCTGTTTCTTTTTTTATTTCCCCTCTTTGAGGAGAAGCGCCGTGTTTTTCAGCCGTGTCATTTCCACAGACAACAGCTTAAAACAAACCGGCGAGAAAGCGTCAATCAGAAGGTCCTGAAGCAGAGAATGGTTGCTGCTTAGCATTCAGCGGCGCCGCGCAAAGACAGTGGTAAATACCTCCAGCCTTCATGAGACGGAGTGTTGAACCAGCTCCTGTCTATCATCCACCGTGAGCCTGGTGTCACGGCTGCTCTTTAGCTGCGTTATGTGACCTCTGCACACCTCCAGGCCTCTGCTAACGAGCCAGCTAAAGATTCAGGAAGGGGGGGGGGGCAGGAAATGGGAGGGAGGTGTGAGAAGCTCTAATTATGATGAAGTTCTACCAAAGGAGGGAGGCGTTTCCCCGTTCGGTACGCGCTCATACATCTGGCCCCAGATCTGCTGTATTCGCCGCCGCCGTAGCTCCCGTTCAGCTGCCTCCGCAGCGCCTCATCTGCATAATTGGATCTTTAATGAAACTTCCCTGGCGGAGTGAATTAGAAAATGAATAAATTATAAAAAAAATAAAAATAATGAATAAAAAAAAAACGA